CAATTGGAGTTTGCCATCTTTGGCGGCCAAGAAGGCTAACATGGAGCACATTGATGGACTTAGTGGACCTATCTAACACTACACTATAGTATTCGTATTATTGTTACTATTTATTGGTCTTTTGGCTATAGTTTTCTACGATACAGTATTGCAATAGATGCAATGGATCTTTCGGATTTTTGTGGGGTGTCACGTGGTGTTACTCCACGTAAAAATATCGCGCAATATCGTGGTGTCGCGCAGCATTTCGTTTGCTCCGACTAAACGATGGAGAGTCCTTCGCTCGTTCACGTGCGACAGACATACGTAACGGACGAACCATAGACGATGGCTAGAGAGTGATACTCTTGTCTGAACAAGAGTTTGAGCCCAACGAGGACAGATCGACACCGATGGACGGATGGACACCAAACATTGAGGCAGAGGCGCGGTGCCATAGTGACACTGGTGACGAGAAGTTCGGGAACGAGGGAGCATTTGAGGGAACAAGGGACGTTTCGTCCAGCATTCAACCGTTTTTTCCCTTGTTTTCTCCCTTATTCCCTTTTTGCCTTTAAAACTCCCTTTTTGCCTTGAAAACTCCCTTTCTCCCTCGCTTCGAACCTCATTCCCTTGATTCTTCGCTTTTTGATCGACGTATTTTCCGCGAAAGTGATGCACATGAATAAATTGACATCGTGAAGAGGTCTTGCGAGCTCCGAATGTCTCCACCGATATCCATTGCGCAGACGTATTTATTTGATGTCTCCGTTTGAAAAGTGGAAATGGTAAGCTTGAGGCCAATGAACTCATCATCCACTGCTAGAAATTCCCTCGAACCCCTGACATTGTCTATATTATAGTCATATATATTTTGTGTATACGAAGCGACATGGAGGAATTTGCCCTATTTGCCTCTGAAATCACTGCTGAAGTACCTCCAAAAGGTCTGAAAACTACTTTTGGAGAGGTTTCGGGACGTCTACGAAGTCCCAAGGCAACATAGAGCTCGAATTTTCTGCGGAAGTTACTTCTCTTGTTATACGAAAGGCAATGATACCATTTTATGTGTTTTTATATGGGTTTCTACAGGACGATTTTCAACGGAGACCATTGAGTTGCAAATTCGTCGGTGACAATGAAATTGCACGGTCTGGACCCCATGAGCGGAGAAAGTGGAATTAGAGGTTGTGGCAAGCATAATTGATACCTGCGTTACGTCGGGAGTGGCGGTATTTATGTTGAATAATGTTTGCTGGGCCGCAATCACACAATAATCCACCATGATTGGTTCTGTTTGTTGCTTAGACTGGACGGATAGGTGTCAAGAAGACGTATTTGACGAATGCGACTCATATCTACCGTCACCATCAAGACCAAGATCTACGCAAATGTATATTTTTGGGATCTCAACTACCAAAATTGACGATTTGGAGCACATCAAGGTGCCATGGTGCGATTGTTCCCCACGTTTGGACAAGCCAGTGTGAACGCCCAGAGAAGTAAAAACCTCCGAACATGCTGTGGCAAGCGTAATTGATAGATAGACTATGGCTGGAGTGGCGATTCATACTTCCAATCGCCTCAATTACACTACAATCTACCCTGTTTCGTTCGACTGGTTCTGTCAGGTTGCAAAAACTGGTCGGCAGAAAGTCAAGAGGGCCAATGCCTCACATTCAACATGTGTTGGAAAGCTCGGCAGTGATCCTACCTACTCGGAGATCCAATCGGATGTGTTTTGTTTGGGTTACTTGCTGAGATATTGGAATTCCAGTGTTTGGTGCTGTCTGTTCCCCTTTCAGCATGAGGGTCGGTGTGGCCGCCCTGGAGACAGCCAACTATTCAACAATACACCAGAGCCTCCCTTGGATGCCTAATACTCAAATTTTCTGGGACCCAGGCAGTGGTTCCGCCTAGATTAAGAATCATGCCGCCCAAATGGGGTCAGAAATCATGGAAATCTTGTCCAAAAAGCCACTTAGTGGTGGTGTGGGCCGAATTTCCTAAAAATGACTTGTTCTAACACATATTTGTCGTCCATGGGTATGTATGAGAAGATCGGTGGCTTTGGAGTGGACGCTTTTTAGGTAAAAATGATTGAATAGCACTCACACTGCATTGAGGATCAATCCAGGTTCATTAAAGAGAGTGGCTGGAATCCTTCCCAGTAGCCGAGTCGATACCCTGACACGATGGCACCAAGTTCAAAGTTGTCAAAATACATATAGTAATCGAATTTGGGCGGTGGTTTGGAGGGCTCTGGCAAAAAAAAAAGATTCTAGGCCAGCATAATTTTTTCTTCCTTTCCTACTCCTCAATTGACTTTGTGGAATTCCTTAATATTATCGATTCTACTGAAAGAACTTTGATTCAGAGTATGCACAGATCTATTAAAGATACATAATAAAAATATCGCCCGGAAATTTATCACAAATTGTAATGGGAACAAGGTCATATGGTGCAAGAGACGAGGCCTGTTACCTCTTAGTTTCTTCCACAGGAATACAATCTAATCAAATCACAGGAGTCAATTTTTAAATCCGACTCAATCGAATGTTAACGGTTCGATTTGAAATGTATGTGCATGGGCTATGATATGGGCAGGCTTGCGTGCAATCGTACTGCAAAAATGGGTACGTACAAATGTACGTAGGCACCAGGTACCTGGTACCAGTAGTCCTTCATCACATCTTGAAAACACTCTTATTATTTGAGTTTGGGTTGTCTTCGATGTTTGACGCTTGAAGGATCAGACCAGGACGATGTCTGGGACATGAGACGGTAAGTCAAGGATGCTTGTGGTGACTTAAATCCTGGATTGCACTAACCGCAATCATTTCACATTACTGCACAGGTACAATATAGGATGCCAGTTATTTTTAGATTTGTTTCGAGCTGTCGTCATTGGCCAGAGAAATAGAGTGAAATCCAAGTGACCAGCTGTCACACCAGACTGGAGTCAAAAAGTGTGATTGCACACGAAGAGCTTCAGACCTGTGATCAAAGAAGACTACGTGTGATCAAACAAGACTATGTGATTGTGATTGATGAACACAAGCGCAACTGAACACTTTACTGGCGGCGCAAGCATGAATGGAAACCAGGCATTCAAGGCGAAACATACACACAGTGTGATGATCTGCTGTTGAACTGAAATGAGATGTGTACTACTAGTAACAGCGAATGTAAATTAATTTTCCTTTATCATTGTTGTAATATTGCACGCACTACATAGCAAAAGGTTTGAATTCAAATGGAACCGTAGAAATAGGATGGCCAGTGCTTCTTAGTTGCGGACTATATGAGAACCGTTAAACTGGAAGGTGGTTAACAAGGGAGGACGGGAACATGGTGGTAAACGAGGGAACGAGGGATTGCTAAAATGAATATGAGATGAGGGAACGAGGGAGTGTTCGAGGGAGGGCTCCCTTGTTTGCGCCAGGGCTCCCTTGTTTGCGCCAGGATTGGTACCGATTACCCTCGTTTATCCACTCGTTCCCTCGTTTTCGACCTTTTTCGCGCAGATTGTGCGCATCGTTTGGTTTCGTTTCGTAAAAAGGGAGCGAGGGTGCGCCTTGTTTCTTCCCTTGTTTCCGCCCTCGCTCCCGAACTTCTCGTCACCAGTGGAGACAGACATTATCTGGCGCCGCAGGTGATGTACGTACCGGTACTGTAGACTTGTCTTTGGTACCGGTACCATATATACCATGGAAACTGTGTCATAATCTACAGTACGATACATGCTACATACGACAAGCTTGTAGGTTTGGCACAGTACCGAGGTACTAACTTCGGTACTGCCTAGGGGACTGCCGGTTTGCACCGAGGTCGAATCATACAGTACCGGTACTGTAGGATTTGAAAGGACAATCAAATAGGATTGACAACAAACCCGGACCAAATACTGTAGGAGATCGTAGACGGCGGGGCATGTCATCAGGATTTAACGGAAGTAACTGAAACGGTTAATGCCACTGTGTCAAATATAAGGTATTACGGAATCAAACCGCTACGCCTACCAGGCTACCTTAATCTGACTAGTCCAATCTAAGTATCTAATACACGTTCCAACACCACTGGAGCTCGGGATTGGGCTTTGGAGCGAGGTTAGGCCCGTACAGCAATCCATGTTGCATTCCTGAGGGTGACTTCTATATAAGTTGAGGATAGTTCCCACCAATCGCAACCATCATGGGAGAGTCACAGTCATCGTTCCTATTCATTTTGGCGACAAACAGTATGCTACTACAAGTTTCAGAAGAATTTCCCTTTATACTTTTATTTTTATTTAGAGCAAAATCGTAGATCGCCTACTGTTTCAGAGGATGTGGTTGGTCCCTTAGCATATGACTGATCTTCTCATGCACCTTCTTTTCGGTTGCTTCTTGCCATGGCGCATCCGTTTGTTGCCGTAACAAGAATCTGCCGCCCCTGGCTTCAATCATTGCCGTGACCAGCTGAACAATATGTTTCTTTTCCGCTTTGCCGTCCTTATCCTTGCCTAGGCTCTTGTACTTGGGGCTGTGGATCTTCACGGCTTCGAGTAGGAACCCGTTGCCAGGGTTGTGATTGGCATGACCACCTCGTCCAAATACGACATCCCGTTCGGGACAAAGATGTGTCACGATAGTAGTCCATTTGATTTTGGGTACCATTTTTCTCTTGGCGG